AGAAACACCAAAACAGAAGATAGAAGAGGCAGCAGAAGAATGGCAGAAAGGCAGAAAGAAGATGAAATGCTGATGTCTAGATAGGAAAAGGGAAAGGACTGTAGTATCTAGGTCTTAGCACCAATATCCGTGGACAGTGATAAAGTCCCAAGCTAGAAAATTAATTTACTTACATGATTTTCTCTTGACAGAGCAATTTTCTTGGAACAACACTTTAGATAGTTTTTTTTCATGTGAGGAAGGACTGTCCCAGTGGTTTGGTTTTCTTGGGCTCATTAAAATGCAGCTAATATGGACTAAACAGGGTCCTTAAAGGATCTGGGTCATCTTGCTAATCCAACAGCACCAGAGTCTTCCTCTGGTGTTGGGCACCATCAAAGCAGTTTGTGGAGAATCAGAGAAAGTACTGGGAGAAAGACAGCAAGAAACCATCTCAATTTCAGTCCCAGAATAGCCAGAGCACTCACATGGTCTGTGGGACACGAGCTCAAACCTGTTTACGACTAAGCATGGACTGACGGCCATGTTGCAGTTATGCTCTGAACATCTGTCTCTCTACTTACGTTGCTCAACTTCCATCTTAAATAAAAAAAATGGACCAAAGATTTGCATTTCAGTCTCTACTCTGCCATATCTGCTTTGAGCTACTGTATTGGTATCTCTGATAAACATTTAATTTAATACACAGTGGGACAACTCCAGGAGGAAAGATTAAAAAACAATCCCATAGGAGGAAAAGAAAAAAAATGTCTTGGCTGATCAAAGAGGAGTTTGTCAAGGTTTTAATTCCCTGCTTGCATATGTGCACTGAAAAGTTTTGGTAAAGCAGGGGCAACTTCCAGGAGGTCTCTGGAGCAAGATAAGAGGAAGGGCAGCAGCAGCTTCTGTGCGCAGGGGACTTCAGGCATAACTCCTGGGAAGAGCTGGTAGATGAGAGGGATGTGGAGGCCATGAGGAGATCATCACCCCAATCTTCCCAGAAATGTGGCTGGAGGGCTCTTATGTGTGTGGATCTCAATTATAACTCGCTACTGGTAGAAAAGTGAAATGGAAAAGAGAAATTTGTTTCCCATCAATCTTCAACGAAAACCTAAAAAAAACCTACCCTGAGAATTCAGGTACTGTGAGACATATTGATGCTTGTCAATATTTGTGACTGAATTATCATCTAGCCTTAGTAATTGATGATTGTCATTAACTGCTGCCCAAGCAAGTGGAAAGCAGTAGGTAAATTATCCCTGACTTTTTTCAGTCAGCAGAGCAGGGCAGTACTGCATAAGCACAAACCCACCATCAGGTGCACTGGGGAGATCGGCCTTTTGGTCACCCCAAGGGAGATGCTGCTTGTGTGTCAATGGTGGCTCACATGCTTCTGGAGGAGCTGTGACTCCTGCCAGCCCTTGAGCACAAGACTATGAGCCATGTCCTCTCTAAGTCACTCTTCTCAGCATGACAGCCCTTCTCTGTGCTGTTACCAAGCTGCCTTGGAGTCACCTGTGAACACATGTAGTTTTCCACATCCTTCAGGGTTGCACCAAGACAACACAGCTGCTGCAAGCTAGTTCAGACCCATGTGTTAGCCTGGATGTGGAAATAGAACTGGACCAGTGCTGACAAAAGCATTTCTACAACCCTCCATTGACAGCTTCAGTGAGGTCTTTTTGGCACTGCACTCATACCTTCTCAAAGAAGTCTTCACTGATGCTTACCTAGCAAGTATCAAAAAGTGAGTATTAAATATTCGAGAAGGTTAAACTAAGCATCTCAAATTGTGCTTTAAGAATTGCAATATCCAATAATGAAAGGATCTGTATTGCATTCTGAACTATAACTTGGACTACATGACCAGAGAGAGATCACAGAAATCACCTTTGGTGTCTGCTGAGGAGTGAAGCCTTGATTGTGCTTTTTCACCGAAACTGCAGGAGCGGCCAAGAGGGGAATGGCTGGAACAGGTGCCTTTAGACAGTGGAAATACACTTGTATGAGCAAATTCATATTTTTGGCTGGGCCAGCAGCACATTGCACTTCTCCCCTTCTGCTGGCCTCTGAATAAGACCAAAAACGAAAGAGAGAAGGGAGGGAACTGGGCACTGATACATGTCCGAGGCTCAGTATCCTGAAGGCTAACCTAGAAAATCCTGTTCATTCAAGGCTGAATCTGTTTGAGGTGATCATTCAGAAAATGAGAATACTCCTAATAGATTCATTTGTGAAAGACATAGTCAAAGATTTCAAGGCAGAAGTTAATCCATCAATAATTTTTGACTGGTTGCAGTGTGTTACAAACAGCCTCACACATAAGGAAAAAAAAAAAAGTGAGATTTACTTCTTTGGTTATTCACTGCAATTATTCACCCATTGCAACCTGAGATTTTTTAGATCTCACTTGGCCTGCAGGAAGATTCCTCAGCAAGCTCCTCTGAGCAGCCAACTGCAAAAAACATTGAAAGCTGATAAGCATATAAGATCATTAAATGGTAGCATTCTCCGTCACCCACAGCCTCTGTTAGTTGTGCTTCCATGCCAGATGAAGCTAGAATGTATGTACAGCTGTTTTGAGTTGTAAAATACATTTTGAAATGGGATTGCTTCATCTATCTTTCAAGAGATTGAATTAAGCAAAAAAATATAAAGGCTTGTCTTTTTTCCAAGCATTTAATAAAAATATTCAGTCTCGCTGGAACATAATAGAGATGTGCTTTCAGCACACAGATGTGCGGTAGTGAGAGCCACGTTTTATGTAAGCTGCTCATTCTTTTGTGCAGTGTTAAGAACTGTATGTACTTTCATACTCCTTTTTTTGGCCTTGACATGAACAAATGTCAAAGCAAATGGAGATCTGGTGGTAAATCCTTTTCAGCACTGCTAATGATTGCAGCCATTGCAGAGCTGTTACTGGCGGTCTAATCATCTTTGGGAAATTAAGCATTTGATAAGAAGACCTTGTATTCTGAATTTTTATTTCTGCAACAAAATTTGCTGGCATGATTCAGTATTTAGAGGATCAGAAAGGTGTGTGGGCCACATACTGCAGAGTATATTCAAAGCAGGTTTTATGGTGAGCTTCAGTGGGTAAAGTCATTAGAGGTATAATGAGTGATTTGAACAGAATTACATGGGGAAAAAATTCATGCCAACGTCTCCTAACTATAAAAATGCATTTTAGCAGAAAACAGATTTACAACTGGAATCTTTTTTCCATGCAAGGCAGAACATGCAGAAGAGCAACTGAGCCTGATTTTCTTTTTCCAGTTCCACTGCTTGTTTTATATTTAGGGGTTTGTATTATGATTGCCTACATTTTACAAACACAAATGTGCCAAACCCCCTTGATTTGTTCATTCAGGTTGAATAGTAAGCAATCTAAAATGTCTACTTTCTTCAACACCTGCACACTCCATTCCTTCCTGTTTTGCGAATGTAAGAGGTGCAGATATGTGTTTTGACTTCGATCTTGTAAACTGAAACTGTTCAAGTGGTAGATCCTGATCTAGACCTGGGCAGCAAAGAGATGTTGCCCAGGTTTCCTCAGCAACCCACATTTTTCTGGGTTAGCCTCTATTTTCATTTGTTCCTCCGGTATCTCTGGGAGCAGCTGCACACGTGGGCAGTGGAGGTGCCTCCGCTGCCTGGCAGAGCTGGATCTGGCACCCTGCTTTCAGGTCTCCATAAAATGAGCCTGGGCAACCTGATAAAAATTGAGGTATATTGTCAACATGCTTTGGTCATGTCAGAGGTCAGACACATAACAGTGTATGTAACTGCTGGAGTTCACAAAGTCTGTTTCGCTGGAGGCACTTCATAATTTATCCTCTGTTTTTGTGTGGCTGACTTATTTACTTATTTACTGCTGCTTTAGTAATTGCATGGAGTGGATCTGCCTCGTCTGTGCAAAAAGATATATGTCTTATCTAGTGCCTGTCCTGAACATGATTTTCTTCCATTTCCTCATGCTCCCCTATCCGTACTGTCACCTCCAGAATAAGGAGGGACAATTCTCTTGTCCAGCTGATGATTGTCCAGCCTCTTCCACAGGGGCAGGATACATCTTACCCAGTGAAAGCTGTTTGAAAGGGGAAACCTAGTCCAGCATTGGCTGTGTCTATACTTCTAAACAGTAGAGAGGCACGGACAAGATGGCACAATTCCTCTCCTCACTGCTTAATACAAGCCTCCTCAAGAAACAATTTGTCTTGATAGATAACTGAAACAGCCCAAAACAGCCTTGCAAGTGGATTAAAATTAAAGAGTGAGCAGTCTGGGGTTCAGTGCTCAAAGCTACTGCCTGTATCTGTTTTATTTAGCTGCACAGACATAGCTGTAGCTGTTTATCCTCCCTCTGTTAGCAGCCACAAGAGAAAAGCATTGTCAGTAGTTGATTTATCCCACCTATTTTAAACACTATTTTAAGGTGAAATGAATCACCCTTTGTGTGTAACTGTCTCCCTATTGACTGTGCCTACCTAATAGAGTTCAGATGGCTAAAGGTAGGAAGGTGCATCCTACCTGTGCAAGTGTCCCTTCAGTAATTGAGACTTGCTCTCAATTTCCTGGCAGAGCTTTCAGTGGCTTTCATGTGGGATTTTTCTCCACAAGAAGTGTTGGAGCAGGAGAAAACACAGTGTGTGCTCCCTGTCACCCTGTTTCCACCCTGCTTCACCTTCATCTCTCCCCAACAACGTACCCCTGGGGAAGAATGGGATGCAGGAGAACAAACCTGGCTGAGCAACCTCTCCTGCTGCCTGAAGATGATTAACACTTCATCCTGGTCATCAAGCAGCTATGCAAACCCCAGGGTCCTGTGGAGGCAGGTGGATTTCTTTGAGGGACTCAATTTTATTTTCTGACGCTACAAAAAAATACTTCAGAGTGATGACAGTACTTTTAAGTGAGAAGCAGCTACTACCAAGTCTCTTTGCTGTTTCCTTGTAGTTTAAAGGATTTCTAATGCAAAATAACAGAGTATGAACTTTTCTCTTTTCTCTTTCTGCTCAGAAATCGAAGCAAAGGAAGCGTGTGACTGGCTACGTGCTGCTGGATTTCCCCAATATGCTCAGTTCTATGAGGGTAAGTAGGTTTTTCTCCTCTTAGTGCAGTACTGAAAGTGCACTGAGCCCTTGCCAGGAGACCTTGCAATCAGCCAATTCTACATTTGACTGAGTTATGGCCATGACTGGCTGCTTCACAAAGCCTCAGCTGCTGGAGTCACACCAGTGCCTTTAAGACAAGTAAGATTCTTGCCCTCATAGCCATGGGAAGAAAAAAAAAAAAAAAAAAAAAAAAGAAAAAAAAGAAAAAGAGGGACATAGTTTATGTAAATCTCAAAGGTTAACAAAAACAAGTACAAAAAAATGCAATTACATAAATCTCTTTTTTTAAAAAATTTCCTGAACTGTGTCTAAAATGAGTTTGAAACTTACTGAAAATGTAAATTTTTCTTATTGAAAACAAGGTTGAAAAACTCTGCAAAATTACCAAAAGTTGATAATCTGAGCTGTGTTCCATATTTGCAAAGCAAGAAAAGCTAATATTTTGATGATAACTCAAAGCAAATGTCTGCGTCCCCTTTCTAGCTGTAAAGTTCGTGTCCAGGGAAGTGGCGTCCCCAAGGGCAGGGTTGCACTGCTGCTGCATTCAGGAGCAGTTTGGGGACTGAGGCTGGGTTTTTCCTGCTCTCCCTAGCTCAATGCTGAGAGGGAAACTGCAGCTGATCTTCGTTTTTCCCAGACTGCATATTCTCTCTGCCAGAGACATGGAGCCAGCTCAGGCCCTCTTGGGCTTATTAGCTGAAGCGCAGCTCTGCAAAATGCTGCTGGACACCTTCCAGGGTCAGCTTGGGTCTGGAGGCAGCGTGGCTTCATGCATGGAGCAGTGGCCAAGAAACCTCATGGGTCAAAGCCAGCTCTATGGAGAGCCAGCTCAGACGCCACATAGGGCTGAGGGTGGTGGGGAGCATGATGCCAAGGACACCTCCATGGCTTCTGATGGCCAGCTGAGGTCCCTCGAAGCTCAGGTGCTGGCTCCTGATGGGCTGCTTGGGTGCCCAGGGACTAGGAGCACCACTAGGAGCAGAGATGCTGAGGTGGCTCCACAGGAGCCAGGCAGGCTCTCTTAAACCCAGCAAGGAACGAAGACTAGTAAGCCTGCCAGACCAAATCTTACAGACATGTCTGTCTATCACAGTCCCTGGGTGCCCAGTAGTACTTTTGTGTCTGCCTTGTAATCAGGGTATCTCAGATACTGACCACCCCAGAGAAAGGAGATCCTGCTGCCTGCCAAACTCAGAGAGATGTTCCCTCCAAAAAACAACCTGTGCTGGGCTCCCACAGTTCCCGTACAGTCACCGTACAGTCAATATGTGCTCTAGACAGTCTGTGTCTCTGAAAACAAGGTCCTTTTTACAGGCATCTGTTATGTCAGTGTTAAGCAGTAGTGTCTGAAAATGCTGGCTGCAGTTCCTGTGTGCCAGCATCCTGCTGTGGTACCTAAGCATGGCAAAGCAGTCTGGAGAGCAGCCACAGCGCTGGAACCCATCCCACCCTTACGGAGACCACTAATGTGTTGCAGCCATGTCACTTTTCATTACAAATGTCAGCTTCCAGCACACTAGTCTGGCTTTTGAGCTAATATTAGGGGTTATAATTCATCTCATTTTTTTTGTCTCTGTTACTTGATTAACCCTTTGTCTTAAATCATTGTTATTGGGACCTGTGTTAAAAGGAAAAAGCACAGAATATTTCTGTTTCATGGGAAAAATCTGTCTAGCAAATACTAAGTCACTGTGATGGGAATGGAGAACCTTGTTGCTCAAGTGGATAAAGAAAGTGTGTTGGTAATTCTCTGATCTCATTTGTTTGTGCTAAGCACTGGAAATAACAGCTAACAGTTGAGTATCTTATTAAAGCCAAAATGAAATAATCTTGCTCTCTCTTTGGTGCACAGGACATTCAAATACACCTTTAACAGGAAAAAAAAATAAAGTGACTGAAAGTGTCACAGATACAGCTAGAAGGGGACCAGAGCTGAGTGAAATCAGTCGTACTAGATTTCAGTGAGCAAGCACATGCAGAGCATTTTAGACATAGATAATGTATTTTCATTTGATTAGCAAGCAGTCGTCTTAATATTGTGTCTCCTTTTATAGACTCCCAGTTTCCCATTGACATTGCTGCAGTAAAGAAAGATCATGACTTTCTTGACAAGGACCTTGTAGAGCCTCTTTGCAGGTAAATAACACCTAAAGTTTCTTTTCTGATAATTTAAAAACCCAAAGTGATTTGTTATTGTTAGCTTAGCAGCAGAAGCAGCAGCAGCAGAGATATTTGCTTGTCCACATGAATTAAGCAATGATATCTATAATGTTATCATTCTTTATCATTAATCTCTCTGACCGAAAATCCTGGAGTAGGACCCCTCATACATCTCCCCTCACAGGACACTCATAGAAAACATCACATGATTTGAGAAGACCCAAATCCAATGGATCTGAAATACCTACCTTTTAAGTAAGAACTAGCAGTAGTACAAGCAAACTCTAAATAAACGAGAGTCACATTACAGTTGCACATGAATAACTCTAATGTCCAAGCACAGCAGAAAAGATGAAACTTCATTGCACAGAATTCAGCAAGAACTTTCTCTGGCAGCAGACGTGGTTTTCATGCTGCTGTGATTCCCCTGATACTCTCCTTTTGGCACCAGTAAGAGAAGTGGGACCAGAGCCCCACAGTACTACAGCTGCTACAAGTAATTACTGGTTTGCCCCTCCCAGAGGGCTCATGTTTGCTGTTTATCTAGCTTTTTATACGCTGCCTGTGATGAATATACCGTATTGCATTGCTCAAGTATTGTCCCCCAGGACTCAAGAAGCAGCAATTCTGTGGCAGTTTTGCAAAACCACATTGCAGAGGCATTGTTCCCCACTTCTTTCTCCTGTGCTCAGCTCAAGCTGGATTATGCTCCTCTCCTTTTGAGCAAGGACAAAGGAGCATCTGGCCCCTAACCAAGCAGGCTTTATTACATGTTATGGAAACTTTCACAACACCAACATCAAGATAATTGGACAAAACTCCATTTCCTCTTCTGCAACTGTGGCTAAAGTCATCAGAGAGTATATGCTGTTCCACTGCACATCTTACTGTGCATTGCAGGGATTAATGAGTCTGTGATGGTGGACTGCAGAGAGAATTTCTAAGAACCATAGAAAATAGGGCTGGAAGAGAGTTCGTCTCTCCATCCTGGGAGATACCCTCCTTTGTGGAGGATTCAGGTAATTCCTGGGCGTAACTGTCAGAATGCTTTCCCAAAACTTGCTGCAAGTGAGACCTATTGCTTCTCATTTTGTCTGTTACAGATATAGGGAACAGAATATTCTCTCTCTGTAGTGGCCTTTAAGTCTGAAGACAAATCAGTAGGAAAGACTTGGATCCTTCAGCGATTGCTCACAAGGATGCCGGGGAGCAGAGTAAATGCAGGCTTGATCTACTGCTGTTGAGTATGGCCTGGTGGGAGGGATTGCTCTGCTTCTGGCTAGAGAAACTTCCTTTCCACACATACTTGCATTCCCTTGCTTCAGTCTGGCATGGTGGCAGACATACTTTGCTGTAGTTTGTGAACTGGGAAGTGGTGTGAGTTTGAGATCACTTCCCCTCTGCCCTTCCCCACAAAGTTGCAGGACCATCCAAATGTGCAAGTATAATGTCTGTCCCTGTCTCTGTCTTGTGAGGTGCAGTTATTGCATAGCTCTGTGACTGTCCCCAGCCTTTCTTCCCTGAAGTAACTGACAATGGTAGTTACTTCAATCATGGTCACCAGGCACCCAACACCTACACAGCTAAATGGGAACAGCTCACTTCTTGCTTCTCTGGCCTCTTTGTAGACTCACATACACACCTACAACAATTACACTAAGTTTACATATATTTATGAGGATTTCTTTGTGAGCTGAACAGATAAAGACTGGGCTTTTTCCTCTTTTATTGAAAGATGAGGTTTTGGAAAATAAACTAGCAGCTGGGAGGATGCACTTACATGACAAAATGTTTTATATTAGCCTAAATCAAGTGACACTGCTGAGACCTGTAGTACATAAGCATAGGCACAGATCTTTCAAAATTATTTTTTTCAAAGATAAAGGGTTTATGACTGTTCAGTAACTTCTTCTGTAGTGATTTATTCAGAAGACACCACCTCCTGGCTTAAATTTTTGTTGAGAGTTTTTGAACAGTTTAGATCTAAAAAAGGAATAACACCTCATATACTAGCTAGGTAGAAATAGAAGCATTATGTACAGGTTGTATAGATGAAAGAGTAATGTTTTCCAATTGCAGACATTTAATTTGCTGTAACTCAGCAGCTCCAACCCATAAAGAGCAATTGTGCCAAATGTCAAGTTTCGGGTTCATCAGAAACAGTAAACAATGTCAGCCACTGCCCCCAGTACCAGCTTTGTTACTGTATTAGCCATCAAACTAACATCTTCCAAGTTTTCTAGCATACTGGAAATCCTCACAGCTGGGCTGACCACTGTGGCCAGTTTTCTACCTTTGCAAGGTGCATGCCAGTATATCATACGAGAGCCACAGGCTGTGTTGCACTTTTATGTAGAAAGTTTAAAAAAGGTTGGTTATTATTTCTGTATGCACCAGTTCCCAGGTCAAGTGCCAAACTTCCATTCTGCAAATGCCTAAAACTGCCCTCGAAGCTATTGCATGATGAAGCCTTCACACTGATTAATAGTGCATTCAGTCTGTAGTACTGAACAAAATGAGGTTCTCATTTTTATTTGGAGGATAATTTGAAAGCTGGAACGCCAGAGTGGATAATCAGTTTGAGCAGAGTTTCAGCTCTGAATGGTAATGGTTCTAGCATAAACACTGAATTTCTCTGCTTTTGTGGATTGAAATTGGACTCTCAACCTCACTTTATAATCGTTTTTCCTATGGCATTGCAGTGTACAAGACAACATGAGGTAGAAATGCAGAGAGACCTTTTCTTTTTTTAAGGCAGCTAGTAGTATTTTAGTCAGAAAGCCTAAGACTCCCTGTTATAAAAGATTTCACTGACCTTTTTGAGATATTCTAACACTCCTGCTGTTTACAATATCATTTGAAAATTTGGCAGAGTAAAGACCAAATTTGAGGCCTTTGGGTTAGAGGCATATCTATCAAGAGATTCCACTCAGATTTTATTGAGTAATGAACAATAGAAAATTACCGTGCAATCTCCAGGCTAAAACTGTCAGCCTGCCAAAATAATAATTGGGCATGAAAATTTTATAGCTGGATCTCTTGTGTCATTTCCAAAATAGTAGCAACCAACTCTGCTCTGGGAAATTTTGTGGCCACTGTGATAAGAGGATGAGAAGGAAAAGCCAATCCATGTTGTACTTTCTGTATTCACGTAAATACAGTGACTAAGAATATAAAGAACAAGTATGTAATAGCTTGATATATAGGCCCCTAAACCAAGCTCTTAAAATTTGAACTGTGTCAAGCAGCCAGCAGCACTTTTTTCCATAGCTGGTGTCTCTTAGGTAGCTTGTAAATAATCCAAAGGTCTCTGTAGACAGGTCATCCTACCATTAGAGTTTTGAAGTGGTGATTGTATAGTCAGCACCATCTGCTGAGCCATATTGCTCTAGGTGCCGTTGGGAGATAAGCCTGGCTCTCCACATCCAGTATGGAAAGCCCTGCTTTGAAGTCAGTAGAATGGCTCCTGTTGATCTCATGGAGAGTTGACACCTCATGTGAGTGTGCAGCCTGTAAGGCACCTCACTCAGTTGCAGCCATGATAGAAAGGGATAAGACTGGAAAACAGCGTATTCTCTTAAAACCAGTGGAGCAGGGACATGCCAGCGCAAGCTTCACATACCAGCCCTGCCGGTACTGGAAAGACCCTTTTTCAGTGTTCAGATCTCAGCAGAGCCCAGCATGAGGAACTGGATGTCCTCTTCCCAAATTCCACAGCACCAGAAGAAGCCAGCTAGGGGGCATGTGTATACAGCACCTAAACTTGGCCAGGAGTAATGATAAAACAAAGAAATAGTGTAGGGTTTCCCTTGGAGAGGAGTTTACAGAACTATAAAATGTGTTTGCCTGGTCACAATCCATAAGAGAGGACATCTACAGATCTGCTGAGGTAGGAGACACTGTGCTGTCCATGCTAGTCCTCCCCATGGTGCCTCCTGCTGCATGACCAGCTGGTGCCCCTGGCTGCATTCCCCATTTCTGCTTGGAAGTGGTTGCAGAACAGGTCCAGGGGAATGCATGGAGTCACTTCAAAGCTGTCTTCCTGTTAACTAGATGGCTCTTCAAGCAGGACAACAGGTTCCTCACAAGGTTTTCGAGCTAATCAGATCCTGCATTGCTACAAGCTTGTATTTATGTGTAAACACTGCTTAGTGCTGTACAGGATGTGAAGGTCAGAGATTTCCTGATTCTGAAGAACTTCCACTATAAGGGTTAATAATTACAGCAGTGGGGTTGGGATTCAGAGCCCTAAATACCTGTGTCTATTGCCATCTTAGATCTCCTAAGATATCTCAGGCTTCTCCATGAGCTGGCTGGACCAAGAGGACCTGCAGCAGCTGGAGGCCAGGCTTGATACTCTAGTGGATCTAAAATAGCACCAGACATCTCTGTTTGGGCTCCTGTATCATTCCACTGGTGTTTAAGTATGGTATCAAGACAGATTTTTACCATAGACATGGTTTCACCATAGCGAGAAATGTTAAGCCGTAGAGGTAGTGTTTACCTGTGATGGCCTGGAAAATAAATAACATCAGTGAAGCACTTGCTGTAGTAAATATTTTGCAGGCTTCCCCTGAACACTGCAGAGCTTTCCAAACAAGCATTCAAATGCGTCCAAGATTATCTGGTTTTTATATAGCCACCTATCTTGTGTTTATTTAATGTGTTTTTTTCCTGCCTTTTCTCAAGTCCGGATTTTGTGTTTTGTTAATGTTACAAACAGGCAGTCTTTTCTCATGTTTTTAAGCAGTGTCATGAAACTGACACTTTGACAGGGACATTGGTGACAGCCTTTTGTAGCCAGAAACTTTTTTTTCTTTTTTTTTTTTAAAGATTTGTTGAGGACTTGGCTGTCAGTCATCTAATGACTTTAAGCAGATGAGAAAAGCTTTCTGCCACTGCTGGCACATCAACAAGGCATAAAAAGTTGAAACAGACTGGCTTTGATTGGAGTTGTTAGTACCAGGCAAGCTCACAAATATGATCATTAGTTCTCTAATTTCACTGGAAAATCTTTCCACAGCACTGGAAGAGCCCCAGAAAGCATGATGATGTTTTGTAGATGGGTGAATTTAAAACCTGAGGTTGAGACCTTGATACCCAGTAAAAAGTAGTTTCGTTTCTGGTGAAGCAAGTTCTTCATAGCAAAGAAAGCAAAGTTAGAAAGCAGCCAGGACAATGGTGTGGCTTCTGAAGGCTCTAGTTTAAGTACTGATGCTCACTTTTATAGAGCTGACCCCTCAGTCTCTGCTGAAATGATCTCACTTTCAAATGCCATTAGTGGGAAAGTGATGGCTTTGGATGGTCTTGTTGGTTTCACCCCGTGCTTTCTGCATCTTTCCATGCTGAAGAAGCAGCTCTTTCTACTAAAAATACCATGGCACTTTCAGCTGTCAGCTGGACACATCCAGAGGTACCTGGGTGCAAACAGGGCAAAGGGTACATCAAGGGCTGTTGCTTCCTCGTCTTCCTGCTCCTGAAATGCACAGCTTGCTCCTCATTTTTCGGAAGGCAAATGGCACCATAGTGAATGGAAGGAGCAATAGTCCTTGTGCAGAATCTCCGATCTGAACCTCCAGTTCAGCTCTCAGAGGAAGCTGTCGCCACAGATAGCTGAGTTGGAGTCCTTTGAAAATGTGTCTGTGGCTCTGTAGATTTGGATTAAATACTGATATGCAAATGTAAACATTTTGCACTCAGAAGAAGTACTGGACATTATTCAACCCTAGGGCCCCAAGAAAATGCAACTTTGGGTTGAGAAATTCCATCTTTGGGCAAAAGATGAGCTTTGCAATAATAGTTGTAATCCCTGAGGAGGAGGATTTGTGGGCAGAAGACTGAAGATATAGCTACAGATCCACTAAGCCTGAAATTTATTACAAGAACATTACTATCATGCATGCGGGGTGTGCTTGTGCATGCATTATACTCACATTAATATGATGAGCACAGGACTTTTCTGATATGGCATAACAGGTTTATTGGCTTGAGTTAGGGAGGAGTATTTTATCTACAAATGAGCATGTGATATTTTGTGAAGGAATTTTTTTTAAGGATGATCCACATTTGGTGGGCTGTTTTTTTTATTAGTGGTGACAATTTGAAAGGATTTCTAATATTAGAAGTCCCAGGGAGGAATATATTAATGCCATAATGTTCTTATGCTCTGTGAGATATTATATTATTGATTTGATGTTTTTTTTCATGTGTCCTTGTAACTTTTCACATACATTTCAAATGTTATGAGTTCTGGAGATTTGCAGCCTCTTCCTGAGACCCAGAAGCAACAGGAACAGCTCTTGCTGCAAAGACACAGGCAATGCAGGCAGCCTACAGAAGAGCTTTGTGGGCACATGACTCTCTCACTCTGCCTCTCTTAATTTTGAAATTCAGCCCTAAATCTGGAAAGTGTTCAGTCAAACATATTTGTCTCAGCCTCTGATTTTAGAAGATGGATAGTTTCATGAATCAGGACCTTTAAGTATAAATAAAACCTAATAAATTATGATTAACATGGTAGGTTGTCTATTGAAAGAGCATACTTTCTTGACCTCTGGCTGTCTCTGCACATAGGCATGCACACACACACACACACACACACATTCACTTTCCATCTTTATCAGATTGTCATTTCATCCCACTATAATCATGAGATAGCCTTGAATTTAATGAGCCTTACAGAGATCCTGATATCATTACAAATGTGGTCAAAAATAACTAAAAATACCTAAAGATGTTAGATTTGATACATGCTGGGTGTGTTAACCTGTCTGTAAGATCCACAGATACGGGAAAGGAACTATTGACTGTGGAGAAACATTTAACTAATTGCTAAAAGTTCTTCTTTAGGTCAACTTTTTAAAGGAGGTGTTAACTGTCTAAAGTGAGCCACATCTTTTTCTTTTGTCTTGTGTTTTGAAATCCCCATTTTAGATCAATTATGTTAGGATCCTGCAGAAGGCAACTTATCTCCTTCTTCTCTTGTCATTTCCCCAGCCATCAGAGGTGTATGTTTATACCCGTTTCCTTTGCTAAGTATTTAAATGTGTATGAATTAAAAAGCAATGTATAAAACCTGACTATCAAGTAATGTGAAGCTAAGGTTCCCTTTTAACACAGTGGTCTTCTAACCTGGAATAGTATGACCGGTATTGTTTCTGAAGGCTGTTGTATGCAGCTGGCACCCTACAGGCAGATAAGAGAAAAGCTTTTGAACTTCTGAAAAGTCATGCCCTTTAATCAGAGGCTGCTAATCTTCTGAATTTGCTTTGTCCTGTAGACGACTGAACACACTGAACAAGTGCGCCTCAATGAAACTCGATGTGAACTTCCAAAGAAAAAAGGTAAGGAAACTTCACGAAATGTGCTGGCTTTGCCCTGGCTTTTGTGATAAGACCTTCCCAATTTAACCTTTAAGTCAGTAATGCTCTTAAAAGTAAGTAAGTTAAGTGTATTTGACTTTGAACATGTGTGTCAGCATTATCTGGACACATTATGATGTGAATTACTGAATCTTGAAATCATAAATAAAATAGAAAAAACCCCGTGACTGATACAGTAGGAACAATACTATGTGTGTTAAAAGGGCACGCGCAGTACTTAAAACTTTGTGTATGTGCAGTTCAAGTTAGTGGGTGAAAAGACAGTGCGGTTTCATTAGGCTGGCTTGTTTGCCAATGCCATGTGAGTACACAGTGGAAAATCCTGCTTGGAAAAAATGGAAGCTGCTCGGATGAAAACAATAGCTTTTCTTTATTTCTTGTACTGACTTATTCCTGGTTAAGAATATGAAAATTAACTCTGTCATCCGTACAAGCTCCTGTGTAACATGGGAATCATTTGAGCTTAAAGGGTTTCATCAAGGACTGCAGAAACTGCCTATTGATTTTGAGAGTTTTGTAACATGTCCAGCGTTAACTGTTGAACGTTTGGTTTTCTGGTCACAAATTCTCCAAAGTCCTTCAGTAGTGTACAATGGTAGTTATTGACTCTGAGAAATCTTGGTGTCTGTTTATCTTCCTTAGAGTGATTGTCTAATGCTTTTTAAAACTACCTCAGAGAGTTGCATTTTTGGTGTCTTTGCAGATTCAATCTATTCATACTCATTTCGCTGTTCGAGCAAACTTGAACAAAGACTAGTTTTAATGTCCAGATACTCTGCCTTCAGCACATGCCCATTTGTTCCTCTGTGTACATAGCCTCTTCAGCGGGCATTTTGTCCATTCACCAGAGCCGTGGGTACCTCTTCTCTTCACTGCTTCAGACCTGTTGGGTTTTTCTTGTCTTTGATAAGTGCCAACACTTTCCACATGAAATACCCACATCACACGTGAGAGAAGGAACAGTAAAATCTCCTGGCTACACGATAACATCACGATTTGGGCAGTTAGGCACTATAGGAAGAGGCTAAGGTCCTGCAGCAAAAGCTAACTGAATCGATTGCGTCATTGACCTGCTTGGAGTAGGTTTGGGTCTGTGTGCCCACATACTTGTGTTCACACAGAGATACAGGAGCTGCACAAGAGAAAGAATTACAAAAAGCAACATATGGGTGAACACTGATTGTCCTCTGGAAATTTCGTTTAGTTCCTGTCCTCTCTGTCTTCCACAAGTATTTTGGGTTTGGGGTGACATTTGTATGCATGCTTTCTTCTTTGTCTGATTATGTTGGGTTAAAAAAGGGCAGATTTTCTTATTATCTTTGTTTTTATTCATTTTTGCTGCCACTCCTCCCTGTTCTGAATGGACTGAAGCCCTCACCTGCTCTCCTTGCAGATGACCATTAATTTGCTATGGAAGTGAGACTGCCCTCCTTGGTACCCTTCCAGGGGGACAGAAGCTAGTCCATACCTGCACGAGGCCAGGGAGAAGCAGAGCACAGAAAAACATAGACAAAAAGGGGATGAAGGAGATTTGGGACAACAGACACAGAGCAAGTGAAAGTAGAAAAGAATGTGGGGGAGAGAATAAGTGAGACGAAAGACTGCTGACAGGAGGAAGTGTAAATACAAGTGTAAAAGCTGGAAATTGGGGCTGGAATTGAACACTGAACCAAGTAAACTTTTTTTGGCTGTAGATACTGCCTGTCTTAATAGTCTCTATGGTGATCAGAACAACGAAATACAAAATCAGCTTGCTTTGGAGGTTCAGCATAACAGGACTAGCGCAGCTGCTTGAGTGATTCATCAAAATACGGCCAAGCGAGCTGCTAGGCAAGGTTACTGTGAAAGCCAGCATGGGGTGAGTGTTCCCCACTGCCCGCTCTCCCACACCATACATTCATGCTGTGGGCTGATCTCTTCCCCTTGGCTTCATCAAGATGCATACAGGAATCCTCATGTATGTGTTGCAAATATGTCCGTAAGTGATTTGGACAGACAGAGATTAGCCTTTGGATTAACTGCTTTCTGCAGCTGTCGATTTATGAGAATTCCTGCCCCCAGCTGGAAAAATGTGGCAGAATTCCACCGCAAATAAACCCACTTTTTGCCTTTTGTTAGCATCCTTCTGTATCTCAGGCAAATACACCCTCAGTCAAGAAGCTATACTATTTTAAATCAACTGTGACAAATCTGTGAATCAAAACCTCTTTCTCTTTGGCAAATGTTATCAGTCACTCCTCAAGAAACTTGCCCCTTCTTGTCTTCCCAAACATAACGGTATTAAATGGACTTTTGAATATGCTCCAAAGCCATGGACTTGATTTCACCCTAGGTCAGCACATGTATACAGTCACTGCTCCAAGATGTCTGTTCCGCCTGTGTAAGATGAATCATTGCTTTCAGACCTACTCTTGATCCTCTGTCCCCATAGCTGGTGACATGTCAGTTGGCAAAGTGCTCTCTGCATTTTTTTTAGGACAGTCTCGTTTGTCAGTGCGCTCTGATATCTAACAAGAACAGTGGGTCATTCAGGATGTTCCTGTCTTCCAGAATTTCTACTGATTCCATCAAAAGAAAAGCACATTATGTCACAGGACACGCAGTGCAGCTGAATTTGGAGTGAGTCACTGTGGCAGCATTTCAGTACCCAGATATTGCATTCGTCTGATTTTGCTTCTAATGAAACATAGACATTTTTCGTTACCAATTAAAAAAAAATAAAAAATAAACCTTTATTTTATTTAGCTGAAAAATTCAACACAAAAACCCCTGTATTTTCTGACTGGCTCTGAGGCAGAATGTAATCCGCATTTTTCGTTACCAATTAAAAAAAAAAATAAAATAAACCTTTATTTTATTTAGCTGAAAATTTCAACACAAAAACCCCTGTATTTCTGACTGGCTCTGAGGCAGAATGTAATCCTATCTTTGCTGTGGTTAGCGATGAAACTTGTTTACTACAAATACTAATTTCTGTTCATCTCTACTGTCTTTAAAAAAATATGAAAACTTATTTTCCTTTAAAAATGATTGAAAGTATATTCACCACAGAATTTATGTTTATTTCTGTCTCTTGCTCTGTGCTGTCCTTTTGGTGTTTTTCACAATGTCTGTACCACTTTGGCTAGTTTAATCGATTCTGGCTTGTAGAAAATACAGGCTAAATCCTGTCAGTTCATACAGTAATGTCAGTGCAGCTACAGGGATTTGTGTCAGCCAAGAATCTTCTTTAAGGTCCCTTTGGCATATTGGGATCTACAACAAATTAAAAAAATATATTTTTAGCCTATTAGCTGGTGCCATCAACGCTTCAGCACTGGTATGCTTTGTAGATATAATTACCGCTACTAAGTATTTAAAAGTACATACCCTTGTGGTTTTTAAAATATCCATTTTGTGGCACTCCTAAGACCACAATAGATGGATTTTTAAGTGACTGAGTCTGTGCAGTCCTTCACTGTGTATATGCATACAGCAAACTCTGGAGCTGGAACCAGAGCAGAACTGTCTGGCATGCCATTTCTTCTCTGCAGACAAAATGGCCAAAGCAGTATTAGACTTTTCTAGCCCCTTTCCTGATGCTTCACTAACTGCTTAATTTTTCTCTCTGGCTAGCTGCAGAACTAACATCTCCATTCATTCCTGTGAACTAACATCAGGTGCAGGGGCACTGCACACCTCAATGTTAACAGAAAAAAGAGGAATGACTAAACCCAAAATTTCATAGCTATATTTTATTTTATGTTTTGGACATGATTTAAAACATCTGGCCCACTTGAAGTGATAAACTGGCAAAAGCTTATGGCATTAGTGTGACCTGGCACACTATTGATCACAATCTCCATCTTTTGAGATTTCACATTATTTAAGGTTTTGGGTCTTCTTGTAAAATTTGTTTTACATTTTTCAATTAGACAGGCCAGCGGAGATCTAGTCAGAGATGAGAGGTAACTTTACCATCAAAACTTCATAGAAAAATACTTCCAATAACAGACTTTTAAGATGAGAATTTTTGCAGTCCCAAAATAGTCTTTCTGGTTTAGCACCTCATTTTAGTCTGACAGCCTGTCATATTTTACAGCTTTCATACTGCTTCCAAGAATGTGAAGAGCTCTTTGGATGTCATGTAGGTGAAGTTAGTTTGTTTTGCTTTAAAACAAATGTACAAGAATAATGCAGTATAAACCCAGTTCAAAGTCAGGGGAAGGATACTCGTTAGCAACTGTGGGCTTTGCATCCTTAGAGAAGAGTGAGTTCGACACTGACTGCGCGCTTCATGCTGAAGATGTAGCTTTTGTGTTTGAGCAAACAGATGAGAAAAATGTTATAGGATAGCTTTTTTTATCCATTTTTTTTTCTCAAGGCACATATTGTCTGCCTTGTAGAGTAGCTCCTGGAGCTGCCTAAACATAAGCACAACTCCGCATGCCTAAGGCTGAGGGATGAGACCAGGAAGGGCTGTGGGGCTGCTGCTGCCTCAGGAGAGGTGAGGAGAAGCCAGAGATGGTGGGGCAGTCTGGAGGTCATCAAGTTTGGGCTGCCTCTGATGGCAAAGGCAATGCAGATAGTGGTTGCCGCTGTAAGAAAGCTCACCTCAACTGTAGATGCTGCCCCCCCCAGACTGAGCCTGGCTGCTCCTCCTCCCCACAGCTGCCTTCACTGTCTTCCTTTGCCTGTGCTCAGACCTGCCCTAAGTGATACCTCCAAATACATTTTCTTATTTTAAGCATCGTGGCTATTTATCTGTAATTATGTTCCTGAAACATAAATCTTATTAGAGGTACCTGGTCTGTGAAGTTTATAGATGTTTAGTTAGTTCTCACTGCAAAACTAAGTGCAGCACTGGATATTTGCCATCTTGGTTTCTTAAATGGCTCACATTGCTGTAGTACCCAGCTACTTCCCAGTCTTTACCATGTGTAGTACCATCCCCTCAAGTCAGGATCCCTCTACTTGGACCTTTCTAAACCCTTTTTTTTTTTTTCTAAACAGTCACTATGGGCATCAGTTCTACACAGTTCAGTGCACAGGCAATCCACCCCACAGAAGCAAAGTGGCACTGATGGGACTCATGAGCCCCCTATCACAGAGCAGGTTTTTATTCCTTCCTTGTTAGGATGTGTACTGCAGTCTTTACAATTAAATGAAAGAGAGTGTTATGAAATGGCTGATGACCAATCTTTCATAAACTAGGTTCAAGGAGACTTTACCACCTGTTACTCATGGAGCAGCACAATCACATTAATTCAAATAACAAGTAAAAACACCTGCTTTTAACATGTGCCACTTGCTGTTTTCCAGAGTGAAGATTCAGATGAAGAAGACCTCTGTGCTATCAGTAATAAATGGACTTTCCAAAGAACCAGCAGACGATGGTCGCGGGTGGACGATATTGATGCTTTGCTTCACCGATCAGACAGACATGGATCTTCTGGGGACATTAAAATGAAAAATACAACGAGCAGTGAGAGTGTCCTTACAGATCTGAGTGAACCTGAGGTCTCATCTATTCACAGCGAGAGCAGTGGGGGAAGTGACAACAGGAGTCAATCCGGCATCACCAGTGCTGCCAGGGAGACCTATGACTGCTCTGGCCAGCATGATGTAGAAAGCACACTGCTGCAAGACTCTGCTGTGATAAACACTGCCCTGTCCCCTAAGGACAACCTGAAGAATGAGAAACCAACACGAACCAAAGCCAAAACTTTTCTAAAACGCATGGAGACATTAAAAGCAAAAGGTGTGCATGGAAAACTAAAAGGCTCAGGAAGAACAGGTCCTTTAGAGATAAGTGGACCTGTTCTCCAGTATGAGCCAAAGTCCTTGAAGGACATGCACTGTGTACAGATAGTCAATGGTGATCTCCAAAACTTAGGACAAGATTCCGTCAAAAGAGGACTTTCTTTTTCTGCCAAATCCAGCAGTGACAGCAGTCAGTCTGAAAACAGCAGCAGTGGGGTGAGCACACCATGTTTGAAGGAACGCAAATGCCATGAAGCAAACAAGAGAGGTGGGATGTACCTGGAGGACCTAGATGTTCTGGCAGGAACGGCTTTACGGCAAGTGGTGGACCAAAACCGCAAAAATGAATTTCATTCCCAAGAAAACTTGGTTGTGCATATTCCCAAGGATCACAAACCAGGGACCTTCCCAAAGGCACTTTCTATTGAAAGCCTCTCGCCTACAGACAGCAGTAATAGTGTAAACTGGAGGACAGGCAGCATATCTTTGGTGAAGCAGAAGTGCTCTACTCCAAAAGAGTCTGGATTGATGGCTTGTTGTCCTAAAGAGAGCAGAATTAGTATTTATGACAATGTGCCAGGTTCCCACTTGTATGCTAGTACTGGGGACCTCCTGGACTTAGAGAAAGATGTCCTTTTTCCTCATTTAGATGACATTTTGCAACATGTCAGTGGACTCCAGGAGGTGGTAGATGGCTGGTCAAAGAATGTGTTGCCAGGTCTGCCAGGTGATGATGCATCAGTCAGGGAATCTCCATCATTGCCTTTCCAGTCACCCACACAGATCACACTTGATTTTGAAGGACACTCTGTCTCTGATGGCCGGACCACACCAAGTGACATGGACAGAGATGGAACATCCCTGAATGAATCTGAAGCCACTGGTGTTAGGGACAGGAGAGACTCTGGGGTGGGAGCATCGCTCACAAGGCCGAGCAGGTAGGTAGCAAAATTTTGTACACAAATCCATAGACTGTGAAATATAATATAATGAGGCAGAGGCTCTCAGCCTGGGAGTCAGAAGGTGCCATTACAGTTGTATTCATCCTGTATGGGGATGGGGACTTCCCAGGGAAGGGTGGGACTTTCCACGAGCAGACAGTGTGCGCTTGCAGCCCAGAAGGCCAATAACCGTATCCTGGGCTGCATCAAGAGAAGCGTGGCCAGCAGGTCGAGGGAGGTGATTCTGCCCTCTACTCCACTCTTGTAAGGCCCCACCTGGAGTACTGTGTCCAGTTCTGGAGCCCCCAACATAAGAAAGACATGGACCAGTTGGAACAAGTCCAGAGAAGAGCCACCAGGATGATCCGAGGGCTGGAGCACCTCTCCTATGAAGACAGGCTGAAAGAGTTGGGGCTGTTCAGCCTGAAAAAGAGAAGGCTCCGGGGAGATCTCATAGCAGCCTTCTAGTACCTGAAGGGGCCTACAAGAAAGCTGGGGAGGGACTTTTCATAAGGGCAGTTAATGACAAGACAAGGGGAAATGGGTTTAAACTGAAAGAGGGGAGGTTTAGATTAGATATTACGAAAAAGTTCTTTACTGTAAGGGTGGTCAGACACTGGAACAGGTTGCCCAAGGAAGCTGTTGATGCCCCCTCCCTGGAAGTGTTTAAGACCAGGCTGGATGAGGCTTTGAGCAACCTGGTCTAGTGGAGGGTGTCCCTGCTGAAGGCGAGGGGATTGGAACTAGATGATCTTTGAGGTCACTTCCAATCCAAACCATTCTATGATTCTATGATTCTATGACTTTGGAAGAAGGGACATCCTGCTATGGAAATTCTTTTGTGGAATCAATAGAGAATTGGTTTTATAAAGAAAACTACGGCCTTTTTCTTTTTTTTCTTCTCTAGATCCATTGATTACATAGTAGGATCCTGAATGGGTTGTGGGATGTATTTTCAATTTGTCTTCTGAGTTATGCATCCCATTACTTATGCATCAGTAGCCTTGTGCACTTTTTTTTATGCACTGGTCTGCTTTAAAAATGTGTCCCTTTAAGTCAGAGAGATGAGTTCCTGTTGAGCAAGGGAGCATGGTCCTGGGTAAAGGCCTTTGTGGGTCCATGCTGCTGTGTCTAGGGTGGGTTTGTACATTCAAAAGCAGTGAGAAAATAACTGGTATTTTCTGATCTGCCATCAGTCTTGTCACATCCTCACACAGGATTCTCCCAGGCCATGGTTTACTGCTGTCCATGCTTGCTCACCACCATCACAAGCAAGTGAACTCGAGGAAACTACTGAGTAAACGAACAGTGCCAAAGTTTTTAGGATTTGAGCCAGAACTCATGTTCAGCAAAACAAGAAACTGAAATGATTTTTTTTTCTGATGTGTCCAGTATATAGAGAAAGTGCACTGGTGTAAAGAGAAGATGTGTATGGCTCAATAGCTTGGTGGTTATGACTCTTGCCAAGGAGACACAGGGTTCAAACCTTTCTCCAAAAAATCCTGCAGTATTTAATAATAGAGATATTTGGAGAACCTCATCTCCAAATACCTTGGTGGTCTGGCCAGTCCCCTGAGAGGTGAAGGACCAGGCATCAAATCCCAGTTCTGAATCAGGGAGAGAATGTTTGAATCTGGATCTCCCACATCCTGTAGGAAATGTGTGGACTAAAGGGCACAGCAGGCAGCACTGCTTCCCTGAGTGTATGGATGGGACCCACACCCACTTGTGAATCTCATGTTAAAGAAACAAAGCTTGGGCATTTCCAAAACTAAAGAGATTGAGCAAACTGTCTCCAAGCAATGTCTCCCAACAATGTCTCCATTTGCCTCCAAGCTACATGTTCTTTCAGTTGACACACCACAAGCCATAATGTGTTTGTGTATGTGTATGTGTGTTTTGTATGTTGCCCAGCCCTATCTCACAGTATACCATCTTTTTCTGCCCAGTTAAAGCAGTTGTCTGATTTTTCTGTTGTTTCTTTTGCTAAAGACGATTACGATGGCATAGTTTCCAAATCTCTCATCGCCTGAGCCACTCCATTGCATCACTTCACATCAGCAATCAGTCAGCAGCCCAACTGAATCTACTGCAAAAGTTCTCTTTGCTTCGTCTTACTGCCATCATGGAAAAATACTCCATGTCAAACAAACATGGCTGGACCTGGTGAGTATTATCAATAACTGGAAGAGAGATATTTTTTAGAAGAAAATAGTTTCTCCTAATTCTGTTATTCTGATAGTAAATGCAATTGGGAGGAACAACTGACTTCAACTGTAGAATTTTAAGCTGTCCTCTTTAATCCATTGCTGCCTAGTGACTCAGTGGCAAAGTCAGAAATAGATCCTGGAGATCTGACTTCATTCCTGTTCTCTAACAGAGAGACAACCCTGGCCTCTCTAACAACACTCCAGTTCCAAAAAAATAAACAGGAGTGGGAGAGAGTGATTAAAAGTAGGAAATGTTTACAGTAAGTCTTCCCCAGAATTACTTTTGTGATTCGAAAAGAAACAGCTGCTGATAATACTTCATGTATTTGATGCTGGTTTGTTTGTGCTTTAAAAGAAGGGTTAGAACAGTTACGGGACTTTGCAGATCAAAAGATGCAAGCCTTAGCCTAGTCCTCCTGGACCTGTGTTAGAGGGAGCTGGCAGCTGTAGAAGCTGTCAGAGATACCTGGTCATGCATAGAGTGGAGGGAGGGCAGATGGACATGAATGCTGGCAGTGTGGCTCCTTCTGTACTACTGGCCACAGAAATCTGCATGTTTAATAGTATACGAACCCAATGGGCCACGCAGACAGTGTGTACTGGACTGGAAAAGGGCGTAGATAAAAGATTATAAGTATCTGAGAAATAATCAAAAGGATAACAGAAACTTCCCCTAATACACAGAGACACCGAGTCCAAAAATAATATGACTTGACATTTACATTGTGATTTTCCATGTTCAAAGCACTTCACCAAAATCCCACTAAATTCAGCTATGAGCTAGATAAGACAAGTTTGCCTTGGAAAAACAGATACAAGGGACTACATGCAAGATCCACCTCACTGACATCAGCCACTCTGAAAAGTTTTAAGTCTAATCTGAGCAAGTCGGGTCGGCTGTCTGTGGTCAGTGGAAAAAGGCAGACAACACCAAAGGCTGCTTATTCTATCCAAGGCTGAGGGTTTGGGTCCCCCTCCAGAGGTCCCTCACTCCACAGTGGGAATAGAGGCAGTCTGGACTGCTAACTCTTTCTAAATCTCTATTAGAGAGCTAAAATTCAGTAAGATGAACCCCCAGATCACTGTTCTCCTTTGGTGCAGGTCCCTGTGGCTAGCTGATGATGTCTGTACTGAAATGAGTCTCACCTTAACCAACTCCAAATAAGCAGACTAGAATACAGCAAACTCTAGATCCTGATGTCTGTACAGAGGTTTTCCCTCCTGACAGATACTTCTTCAGTTTGTAGAATCGGTCTCTATGGATTTATAAGAGTGGCACTCTAAATATCTGTAAAGTTACATGCTGTACTCTTTCAGTAGGTTATTTAATCCAAATTTTATCTTCTTCCCTCATAGATGAGAAAAATCTTTGTCACATTCAGGTCATATTCAGACTTTTTTTTTTTTTTTTTTTTTAATTCCACTGCATTCATGACTCCCTCAAAAGGAATACAGTTTATTCTTGTTTTCACCATCACTTCTGGAAGAAAGCAAACTCACCAGCTTCACTTAAGTTACTCAACTAGAATTAATCATAAAACCAGGGATTAATCTGGTACATAGGGATTTCCCACCATCATTTATTACTGTAAATTCTTAGTCAATAGAGATACTAAATTGTGTAACTGGTAGTATAAAAGTCATTCAGCATGCTAGAGGACTGAACCTCCTTTTCTCTTAGATACCCTCTCCACTGTGCTTTGCTGTGCCGTTCCTTTTGAGCATCCTTAATGGGTGCTTTAAACCATGTTGGCTTCTGGATGACAACTGTGTATAACATTGTTAATGCTGCATCTTAGAGCCAGAGACCGTCTACTTATAAAAGTTGTCAAAAAATGCATCAGTTACACAGATTGTAAAGTGTCCATTTATTGTGCATTAAATATTATTTCACCACCTTTATAAAAAAGGTGTGGCCCCAGTTAACAATTTCTGCCAGCAGTGTTACTCAGAGAGACTGAGTAAATACTCTGATATTTTCATGCAGCCTCTTTATGATAATTTTCAGGTCTGTGCCAAAGTTCATGAAGAGGATGAAAGTCCCTGACTACAAGGATAAGAACGTATTCGGTGTGCCTCTGATAGTTCATGTCCAAAGAACAGGACAACCTCTTCCCCAGAGCATACAGCAAGCGCTACGCTACTTACGGAACAACTGTCTTGATCAGGTATGAACTTTGCTCCAGGGACTTGGCTGATTTTTTCTGAAAAGCCACCCTAAGCAAGCAATGGTGAAGCTTTTTGTACTTAGTCCTAGAATTATTTGAAGACTGTTATATCTCATGTTGGGCCCAGATCCCCTCTGGTGATTTGAGACTTGGTGGCAATACTAATGGTTTGCCATTTCAAGATGTGTATCCAGCTACTCTGTTGAACTCTTGTAGTTATAACTGTCCTGCTGATTTGTATACAAAAGCTTGCCCCAAAGAATTATATGAAAACTTAATGTCTATTGAATCAGAGATCAGGACACCCAGCTTCTACCCATATCTGCACTACTTATGCTTGACTATTGCCACTGAGGGTTAACTGCATTCACCATTTCACAAGATATGGTACAAAAGGTTTTATTTACTTAGCAAAGAAAGAAAAGTCCAAGAATAGAGAGCAAACTCAGCAAAATATTCAAAGTATTCTGTTGACAAAGTCAGATATATCCAGATAGAGTTAGGTCAGCAGGGGTTCAATGCCAAAGCCATTACAATACGTTTCCTTTTATCGTGTTCTGAGCTGCAACAAGCCAGCTGGGAGACCCTCATGCTCAAAGTATTTCAGATTTTTTGATTCTCTTTAGATACAGAGCAGGAACATGTCAATCATATTTTTACTGTTCTTCCCCTAAGGATGAGGATATGTGTCTTTATGAACACAGGACTGGGAGAAACCCCCTGGCTGTTAGAGTTCAGTCCTCTACTATTATTGACCTTTTGTCATATGACTCCTTCCAATAACTCTTTTTAGATAGTTGTAAGTTCAAAAGGAGCAACCAGCATTTTACTAGTTCTGAGCATACAAAAAGGGTGGAAGTGGTAGGTTCTGAATCTTTCCATTTTCTGATCACTCTTCTGGTTGCTGTTCATGTTTTGTTGGGTGACAGTCATCTTTCCCAAAATGGAAGCCTAAAAATTAAGTCCCCAACTGTGAATCACAGCCATGTCCACTTTACAGCTAGTGGGGAGACACAAGCTCTTCCTATCCTTTCTCTCTGTTGACTGTAAAGAGATTCTGTAGTGGTCAGACCTTGACATCTAACTTCTGTGTGTCAAAACTGAGGTGACATGAGTTCTGCCTGCTACATGTAGCACAGAGGTTGAGGGGTGGGAGAAACAGCCTGTTGGAAATGTATTAATAGAAGGTGCATAGAGACAACTAGAAGCAATATATTCAGTAGCTAACAGGCCTGGTTATCGCTGTGGTAATCTGGATTTGTGTACTGAGCAGGGAAACCCAGGGTAGGAATAAAAATGATGCAGTGAGCCTGGAATCAGTGATGGGATTGGAGGAGAAACTTGCCGCACATGAGGAACAGGACATGTGGGGATGGGGATGGTCTTGTCAGCTAAGAAGCAGAGCAATAGGAAGAAACATAAAAGAGAGGGGGGATAAATGGAGGAGAAAGTAAAAGGGAGGGTAAAATTAAAGAGAAATAAAAAGCTCTTGAGAGATTTGAGGTGGTCAAAAGGAGTGTCCATGGGCAGTCTCAGACAAATATCTGCTCCAAGAGGAAGGGTATACTTGCTGGGAAGCATCAGAGATATGTGAAGGGCCATTTCAACTCAGCTTGAGTTTCAACTCAGAGTGGAATTGGGAAAATATTGACTAGAAAATGAAGGAGGAGAAGTACAGATCAGGACCATTTAAAATATCTTTCCACCAAAAACCTTTCTAGTTCAAAACTCTCCAGGCAATTCAGCTTCTCTCCTTTACAGTCACTCCCTTTGTTCTCATTTAATTCAAAGTCTCCTCATGCCCAGTCAGAGGTCTCAGCAGCTTCCAGTCTCCCCCAGCATCTTGCTTATGTGTCTCTTCTGTGCACTGCAGAAGGCAGTCTAGAGTCCTGAACAGGCATCAGAGCACACTCTACTACATCTATGCGTACCTTCTACTGCACACTCTTGGTAAAATTGAGGTTGCTCTAAATCATTCTAAGATCTGGCTTCTGGCATGAAACATCTAAGATGGTATGAGAAGCCTCAGCATTATTATTTGTAGGATAGATTATTCAGTTTCAGCTTGTGAAATAGAAACTGCTTTGCCTTTGTCAACTGCATCTTTATTTCTGTCATGCATCATATGGCTACCTGCAGGGCAGATGATCCACAGCATGTGGATAATAAAGAGATTGGGCCAAACTAACCTCAGATAAATCACTGGATTTATAGTCCCATTTTATTTACAGAATGAGTCTGTAATATTGCAGAACAGAGCCTAAAACATCTTCTTCTATCAAGTGAAGAACTGTCCTCTTTCATTAATTATGATTTTTTCCAAGAAAAAGGGAAATAGGAGTTTGGATAAATAGCATTAAACAAAATCAAAGATCAAGAGTAGCAGAATGATGTGCAGCAGGAGATTGTGCAGGTGAGATTTGATGTCTGACCTCTCGAATCAAACTTAGCTGGAATTTTTTAAAGGTTCGTTATACCAGCAAGGACACTTTCCATCAAAAGCAGAGAACTGAGTCTCTGCTCTCATATTTATCTACCACATGCCAAAACTGGGGGTTTTTTTAGATAGAAGTAGCATGGGTCCTTCTGCATCTTCAGCACACATTTCTAAGAGGAAAAGGGAAACGGAAAACCAGATGAAAAGAGACAGATGCTCTTTCTTGTATTCTCTTGTCAGAATGAAGAGCAGAGCTTCACTTGTGAACAGAAATACAGAGCACAGAGATGTACACAGGGCATCCTCCAGTTCTTTACTTCCTACACATAAATATAGCACATGAGCAATGCTAAATTCATCATAAGACAACACAGCAGAAGAGCCACTTGCAGCCAGTCTGGTGTAGCAGTTCATCTCCATATAAATAAATACATCCCCTCACAGAGCTGCATAGTATGTAATTAGTGTCATTAACGTGCAAGTTAACAAAAGTCTTAAATAGCATGTTCCTGAGCATGGGAAGTGTTCTAGGGAGAGGAGGGACCCATATGAACTCTGCTGTCAGAAGTGAGGGGAGGAAGGCCAAAAGGCATTATTTCCTTGCCTTTGCACATTTTTGTTAGTGGACTACGCCACGCAGAAAGCTGAACAGACCACCAGCAAAACAGCAGGCATGGAGGAACTGAATTTTATAACTCCAAACCTGAAATGCAGCTTTTTCATAGGTTTTTCTCACTATCCCAGCTTTCTCCCTGCAAAACTGAAGGAAAACAGTGCTAACACTTCCCAAGTGAAACACTGTAAACTCACATGGGAATAAATATGTGGTTGAGGCTCAGGAATTCGCCCCGGGGAATTCCACTGGCAAGAAGGACGGCAAAAGGGCAGCACTTCAGTGAAGGCACTTGAAGGCATCATTTGAAGAATTACCACTTTCTTTAGAGTAGAGAGCAAACAGGATTAAAATGTATCTTAGTGACACCACCCAAGTAATCCCTCTGTGGCCCTTGCTTTCGATCGGGTGTTTTCAGTGGGATTTGAGGGCACTGTTGGAAGCAGAGAGGAGGAAGGGAAAAAAATAGATTTGAGCTTGATTTTAAAGCTCTACCAGGATGTACTAATCTTTTGCCACACCATTTATTACTTAGCTGAGCATAATATTTTCTTGTTAGTCTTCAAAATATATACCCATATAAACATGAGGAACCAGATTCTCAGCTGTAGTAAATCAACAGACAGTCACCCAAGCCAAGCAAGCCACTGCTGATTTATATCAGCGGAACATCTTGCTTAAACTCTTCAGGCAGCAGGGAAACCACATGTGCTCTGAACTCTCCTTCTAGGATGGGATACAGAGCAGCAGCGTTATTAACTCCTACAGTCCTGCCATGAGAGCGTGCACTTGCCTACGAGACTGTGGGCGAGTCATGACCATCACATTTGCAAATGTTTCTCTTGCTCTTGCCTAGAGTAAAATAAGCAACACAAGCTTTGGTTGTGATCAAAGTCCCCTGTAATAGATATATATATTCTTTAAGTAACTTTCTTTTTTTTACTCAATTCAACATGGTGCCTTTTTAGGTAGGTCTGTTTCGAAAATCTGGAGTGAAATCCCGAATCCAAGCCCTACGTCAGATGAATGAGAGCTCCCCAGAAAATGTAAACTATGAAGACCAGTCAGCATATGATGTGGCAGACATGGTAAAGCAGTTTTTCAGGGACTTGCCAGAACCTCTTCTCACAAGCAAGCTAGGAGAGACTTTTCTACACATCTACCAATGTAAGTTCCAATATTTTTATTATTATAAACAATTATACAGTATTACATATTATATAATAATATATTGTAATATAATATATTGTAAATACTGTTGGTATGTTAACACTGGGTGGGAATCTTTCTGCTCCCCTCCAAGATATACAGAAGAACCTGTCTGCCTTGAAAATTGTTCACTGAGAGATATTTAGAACTACCTAAAGGCTTCAGTGTCAAAATACTAGCAATTTTAATGGAAAGACACCATTCAGATCTTGAGAAGCTTTGAAAATATTGGCCTCACCACCAGAAAGAAGTCAGGAGAACAGGCTGCCATGGACATAAAAAGTGTGAAGACTCATGTTTTTGTCAGATTTCTTTAAACTGTGGGCCCATTTCAAGCAGACATCTCAATACAAGTGAGTCTTCTGGGCTTGGAGAAGTGGTACTTGACAATGAGAATATGAGCCTGTGCAGTACCCTTTCTGCTGTAGCTTGATTATTTGCCTTTTCATTATAGTCAGTAAAATGTACGTGCAAACAACAGGGTGCTTTCATATACATCCTCAGGTTCTAAATAAAGATCTCACAGAGAAACAAAAAACCATAATATTTCTTCTTTTAATTTCATCATAAGCAGTCTTCAGCAAAATCTCAGACTCAGATTCATCAGAATTATGATAATCCCTGTAAATCAGGAAATGACTGTGTACCTCTTCTCCAGACTGAGGGAGAAACAAAATGAGGAAAACACTGAAAAGCCAGAGGAATTAAGAGTTTTTTCTGACAGAGTCTGTTTTGAAGGCCAGTCAGATGGTGCTCTGGCAGATACAGAAAAGTGTACCCAGCCATCCTAAGCCAAATAATTGGAAGCACTAAGCAGAAGTGTGTCTAGTCTTTTCACTTGCAGGCATTTCAGCTGCCAAAACAACAGAAAGACATTTTTAAACACTGTGTAATCCCATTGCTAAAGAATCTAAGTTACTTCCCTGCCTCCCTTTACTGAAAATCTGTCTGTGATGCACAGTCACTAATGTGTTTAGCATCTCAGTGTCTGTAGCTGGTAGAGAAATGCTGTGATTCTGCATGTGAGAGTCAGTATCACAAATAAATTTAGTGGATTTGGTCATACATGACATCTTGGGACACAAGTGAACTCAAACATTTGATGCCAAGCCCTGGACTATCATTTCCCTCTCTTCTTTCCTGCTCACAAGTTGCAGGTCTTGTCTGCTTATGCACACATCAGAAAAGCGACAGAAATTCTTGGTGCTGATACAATAGTAATCACAGTTGTTTCCATAGTGAAGTGGCCAAGGAGATTATCCATTAGCAGGACACATTCTACATGTCCTTGGAAACAAAACACCTTTCAACTATTGCTTGATGAAAATTGGGAATGTCCTATCTTGCCATAGGAAAGGCTGCAAGTAAACTACTCCCTTGCCAAAGGAAGAGAGAAATGGCAGATCTCAATGTCATCGGTGTTATTAGGTCTGTAGCCAGAAGGAATCTTCATCTCCAAGTCAGGAGCCTGACATTAGGATTCACCACAGCCAAAACGCTGAACAGTGAAACATTGCTACCAGCCAACAGAAAAAATGCTGTAAAAAGGGGCATGGGCTGATTCTGTGTAACTCTGCATGTTACTGCAGTGAGAAGTCTTGAAGAACCCTGATCAGGGTGGGAAAAAAGTGCTAGGAAAGATTTTTCTTGAACTGCAACAGTACTTCAAAGATTTCAGAAAAACTTGAGGATGGGTCTGTTTAAACAAAGGTGGGAACAGGAAAAGATGGGCTCTGTAGACACTGGAGACCAACTTCTGGATTAAGAATGAGTAGCAGTGAGGTTTTTTTCATGTGACCAACAAATATATTTTTCTGTTTTAGACAGTACTGACAAAACTTCTTTCGGAGAAAGAAAAATGTTGAAAATTGCTGAGATACCAATTGTATTTCATAATGTCTGCAATTAAATTAATCTGTAGCTGGGAGTTTTTCTTCCCCTTCATCCTGTTTAACAAATTATTAATGTCAAGTTAGGAAGGATTTTTCCTCTCTTAGTATATTGGCAAGGGATTTCTGATCTTCTGGGACTCACTGAACAACTTTTTCATGTATCCAGACTGGTTTGCTTTGCTGTAACACAGAGGACTGGGGATGATGAGTGCAGTAGCCCATATGGCATAGCAGTGATGAAACTTTGTCCATTTCCCTAAAAACCTCAGTTGTCTAATATTTACCTATGACTCGAAGGGCTGGCCAGTCGTCTCTGTGCATCAGACCTGCCAGCACAACAGTACAGGTGAGAGGGTACAGGAAGGCTATCTGGGGAGCAAAAAAACATTGCCTGGATTTAGCAGAGGCTCCTCTGATGTCCTAGAAAGACCTGGCCTTGTGGCCTCTAGAAAGTTGGAAGCATTGGGCTGTGTTCAGTTTGTCATTCGTGTCTGAAAGCTTTTAAAATAAAGTGCTTGTACAAGGCTAGCAGGCAGAGCTTAAAAGCTGGCTGTTCCCTCTACTGTAAATCTGCTTTTATTCTTCTTCCATTCCATTATATAGAGCAGATGTAATACCCAGAGGAGGGCTCCACGTCTAAACTGAGAAAACTTATGGTAGTTTTAGAAATGAATCTGAGGCACTATTTAAGCATATCCATTACCGCTTTCATTAAACTCTTTCACGGTTTAGGACACGAGTGTATTTCCCCAAAGCTTCCTTAAGACTTTTGAACTGTCTTCCTAGGGGACAAAAGAAACCTGAAAAATACCATTTAAAGGTATGAGTACTGAGTACTACTCCCTGTCCTGATCCGATATCGGGGATAATTTAA